CCCCCCCCCCCCCTTCAGCTCGGATTTAGTACATAACGCTGGGCTTGAGTCCCCTTTCCCCTTGCCCCGCACTGTGACGCTAGTTCAAACCCCCCTCCCCCTAAGCATAGAGAAAAAAAAGAGGTGTTTGCATTTCGGGCATCTTAGAATTTTTTGATGACGTAGGTCGATACGGCGACTTTTATCATCAATTCCTTGGAAATGGTGTAGTTTATGGAAAAAATGCATTCTACATAAAGTGTTTGAAATTATATCATGAGTTGATTAAAGCAAAAAATCGGACATTATGGTCCGTTTTTCATACTTCGAACTCCGGATTTCGCTGACTAGGTTGGACCGACCTACGTCACAGGGTAAACAAACCTCAAGATGCAAACACCTCTTTTTGCTCTATGCTCCCTAAGTGCGTTAAGTATTTTGTGAACGGCCCCTCAGTGAAATGCATAACGCTTCTAAAAAATAATTATTCTCTTGGAAGGTATTCGGCAACATTGGAATGTTCATGCAGCGTTTTTCTTTAGAATGGCGGAGCGCTCGGGAGCCGAGGGAAAGCTCGCTGTAATAAAGAAAAGAATCAGGGTGAGTAAAGGGAGAAAATAGTTGCATTCTGCAGGGAAGGGGCCTGGCGGACTGCCAAATCTCTTCGCATGATTTACGTGCTTTCGCGGTTCGACTTATTGCATCAGTCGCGCGCAATCAATGAGCTCTCTTCGAGGCGGGATCCGTCCGGATCTCAATGAGGCCATCAGCGTCTACTCGTTGGACTAAATCACGAACCTCATTATAATTAGATGTATAGTTGTAAGCGCAGCGGATCTATTCGAAATGGAAGTGTCGAAAAACCCGCAAAGTCCGTTATGCTATTTTAGGGGCTATGGGTGTCCTTCAATGAGGTCATCAGAGAGGACTTGTTCTGATTTGAACCTTGTCCCATTTATTGAGCCACGTAAAAATATTGTGAGAGGTTATCCCCTAAAATTGTGGTACTACTACAATTTGTTGGATGATATGGACATTTCTAATAAATTGTGGTAGAACTGCAACTCAAGTTAGGGTAGCACCGCAACGTTTGGCTTAGTAACCTGATTTATTGGGGTAGGACCACGATTAATTCGTGTACTACCGCAATTAATTGGAAATGTCTAAATCACACAACAAACTCGTGTTTTTTTTTATCCGTTAGGATTCAATGTTTATTCCTCGCAAACATAATTTGCGCAGTTAAGAATTTTGAAGTGTAATTTGGTGATTATCTCACACCGGAGTCTATATAGAGCCCAAAAAGGACTCGAGTGATATAAAGGCGGAGCAGGCAGCAGAATTAACAATTTATACGGAGTGACTTGCAATTTACGAAGCAGAGTCCACGTTTAGACCACATCTATCACCAATCGTACTCGCTGCCGATCTTCTATATCCAAAATAATTTTTCTCGAAAATAGCACACAGTTAGCCGTGGAACTATGAAAATACGTCGTAATAATGCATTTGAGTAATGTTCTCGTTGCGATATGCAGATAAAACTGCATTTTGAGTCACTTTGTATTTGTGTTTACTCATAGCGTCGGCCATTTTTGGGTTCTAAGTGCTCCATGAAGCTCAAGATGGAGGAGCCATAGCCACATGGCGATACTCTCTCTATCAAGTTACTCTAGTGGTAGCGGAGTCCGAGAAAAAGGCGAGAAGGGTCATGGCATGCGAAAAATTCGTTCGATTAAAAGTAAATTTGGTCGACAGAGGCGAGGGGCGGGCGGAATGGAGTCGAGATTTACTGGTCAGTGTTGGATCGTGTCCAGAAAAGAGGGGGTCGCTTTTCACGAAGGGATCGCTTCGTACATGGCTCGATGCCGCGACGAAGCGCAGGGATTGCAAGACAAATATTTAAAAGCGACACGGTCCGGATCGCGACTAGCTTTTCACAAAGACGTCCCTCATTCCGCCCCTGTTTGTGGAGCGATGCTGGGAAGGAATTCGCATTTCATGTGGGGTAAATCCGGACCATCCCGAACTATCGTGTTACCAAGGGAAGCGATACGTACAGAAAATGAGGTTCCAAAAAATCGATTATAACTAGTAACTAGATTAAGTATTATAGTTTCACATGTAGAAAAAACAACTTAATCGGCCCGAAACATTTATAAAGAAACAACTTAAAACAAGACTAAGGCCGCAAATAATAAACATAAAATAAAATAAAAAAACCCCGGTTTCACATGTACAGAAATACTTTAGAATAATAATAATTTAAAGAGAGAAAAAATGAATCAACGTAAAATTGTCAATAATCACGCTAGAAATTATTCTGATTATGAAAATTGATAAATTTTACATTCGACTACGCTGACAAAAATCTTTGGTTTATGAATCAAACTGTTGTTCATATAAAACACCATTAATATTGGTAAATGAAGTACTGATTTTTAGTCTTTGAAGCATACAAAGGCATACTAAGGTGAGGTAAAAGTTCCGAAAATCACTAGTTTATTCATAACCATTAATGATGTTCTATTTGAACAACAGTATGGTTTCTAAACCAATGATTCTCTCGGTGTCTACGTAAAAGAGCCCTACTCATTCAATTTTCGGCGAGACATCAGTATGTGCTAACTTCCGCACGCTTGCGTTGTAGTATTTTATAGCCAGATAAGTAATAAGTAGAGTATCGTGATAGCTTCATGTGGGACACATGAGGGTACATTTAATACCATCATCGATGTAGCTTCAAACTGAAGACGATATAATCATAAAATCTGTTAAATTGGAAAATATCCAAATAGAATCGCGCCAAGACCTGCTTTTGTCGTTTCGCAAATGAAAGAACGTAAGTTCATCATAAGTTTGCAAAATTGCCTCACACATGTGCAAATTTTACAAGAGTACGAACGCGCATTTTCGCACTAGTTCTGCTGTTTTTCACGAGTAATCATAAAAAAAGTTAGTGTTGGTCGGTTTTCAGGAGGGTCGGTCCATGGTAAGGTCAACCTGAGGGTCTAAAATTTAAATACAGTGAAACTTCCTTTTGAATACATTTTTGAACGGCAAATAACTTCTAGTTTCCGAAAATATACGGGTTTCGCGATTTTTCTTGTTTATTTTGTGTGTTTTTGTTTGTTTTATGACTTGGTGCTGTACAGTGTATTTTAGGTCTGGAAAAGGTGTAAGTTGGCAACACTTTTTTACTGTTCCTGGCTCACAACTATTTGAAGTTATGTTTTGATCTCACAAAAAACATGACAACAAATACGTGCTCGCAAAAGTTGGATTTCTAAAAGTAAGTACTTACGAGTTTTACTACTTTGAAGTTGGGTTCATCAAATGTCCGGCCCGTTACGCAAAAAGATGGTTTTCTTTTATTTGTTTGCTTATTTTTGCATATTTAAATGCGAATTTTTGGATTCACTTTGTTCTGATAACTCAGGTTCTCCTCAATTTTTTTTTCAATTTTTATACCTTGTGAGATGTTGAAAACAACATACTTAAAATGTGTCCGTCCCGTTACGTAACGGGCCGGACAAGTATTGAACTTCGCTATTTATGGGCACAGTGGGTTCTAATTTTCAGGATTGTGAAAGGGCTGTATTAGAAACATCAGAAGAACCTTATTAGACCTAGGAGGTACTTAAAAACCTCAAAATGTTCACTTTCTTGGATTTTAAAGCAATTTTGTTGTTTCAGGTTTTAAAAAATGGACATTTTTGCAAACCGGATGCAGAAGCACCGCAGAAAATTGAAAGAGGACCCAGCTGCCTATAAAGCCCACCTGGCTAAAGAAAGGCTGAGAGACAAGATTAGGAAACAGCGAAGAAGAGAATATTTAAAAAATCATCCATCAGATGCGGAGGCTGTTAAGAAGAAAGATGCAGAACGGAAGCGCCGCAAAAGAGCAGAACAGAAATTTTTTTTTCATTTTTTTTTTTGTTTTTTATTGCCTTAAATGCAATTCTTTTTTTTAGTTATTTGTCTACTACGTTTAAGATAAAATTTCAACCTCTGTTCACAATTTTCACTATTTATATTGACAATTTTATTCAAGCGACAACCACTAAAAAGTTTTAAAACTTTTGAATCCACCGTTTACGTTTCGAAACAAAATTTAAAAACACTCAAGTTTTTCTGTTCCGCCCACTCCATTTATTCCTATATTTGTTTAGACATAGTATAACTTCTCACATATTTGATACTCACACCGTGCCATTGAAGTATTACTATTATTATTATTATTTTTGGTACTAGTTACTATTTATTTTTCCTCGAGCTTTTGTTTCTTTATTATTATTTTCTTTGATGTTTCTGCCGGTAAAACATTAATAAAGTTCAAATTTTAATTTAAAAGAAATCTTAACTGTTTTAAAATCATTTTCATATCCTAATAAGTAATAAAATTTATGTGCAGGTGGATGGGGAGCTGGAACTGTTATCAAAGAAACTTGGAGAAAGGAAAGCGTTCGGCTTCCAGGGGATAAAGAGTTTATTTTATTTTGCTTTATATATTTAAAAACAAAAAAAGAATAACTACTAAGTAAAGGAAAAAAGTAGGTTCTGACTCCTATAATGATAGCGTTCAAAATTTAAGTAACTGCATTAATGAACTGTCGCTCTTAAGCGAGTAACAGTTCAAGTTATTGATTTAAGAGAAAAGTGTCCGACCCGTTACGAGTGTTATTTTGACTATTATGCTCATAATTTTGTTTCCAAGTTAACAAAATCGTATTAATAACGAAAGGATTGAGTGTTGTGGGTTGAAAATTAATCAAAATAATTGAAATTTCGGGAAAAGAGTAAAAAATCAATAGGTATGTAGAATTTGCTACTACTTCTACAAGCTGCAAAAAATAAAAATCAACAAAAAATTGCATTTTATCTATCTAAATTAATCAGTCAGAACCTTAAATTAATGCATAGAAAAAATTGGACCAATGTATGATCATATACAGATGACTTTCAGCCGTAAAACCATGTGTCAGTCGTACTCTGTCCGGCCCGTTACAAATGCTGTCCGTCCCGTTACGCAGATTTTTCAATTTTTTTTATGCCTGATTCAATACTTATGAAAATTAGTTTAAATAGCATAGTACCTTGAACCCTTGAGGACTATATACATTTTTTGTGGATTTTTTACATGGTAAAATTCGCTGAGTTATTCAATTTTCTCAAGGGAGTCAAAACTCACTTCCAAAAACTGTCCGTCCCGTTACGGCTCTATTTTTGGTATAACTCCCTTAAAAATTAAAACAAAAAAGTAAGTTCGTACACTTTTGGAAATAACACACTGAGCTCTATCTACTGGTACAATTTATTTTAAATTTATGTGATTTTAAATTCATTTCTTCATTACTCAAAGGCGTGCGGTTGTCCGGCCCGTTACAATGGACTGACCCAGGACTCAGTTTCTCAGTAAAAATGCAATTTACAAATGGGCATTTTGAATCGCTGAACATGTTCTTTTGCCCGGGAAATGACAATTTCAGAAAGTTTTTGTGATTGGGTCTGATCTATGGACTGTAACTGCAAAGGGACTTTATTTTGCAATATGAAACTACTATTGTTGGCTCATTTTAGGAACAAAATAATAAGACAATATTTTATTTAGTTTAATAGGTGCTTCAATAGATGAGGCAGAAATTGACGCATGTAAATCAAAAGCTAATACATCCATTGTGACATGGGTCTGGAAACCCATAAAAATCACATGCATGACAGAACCCATGTACCAATGTATATGTAACTCCTGTCGGTTTAAATACGCCCTAATAGTATTTTTGTATCATTGATGTGGTACGAAAATGTTGATGAATAATTTTCAATTATTGCAGGTCCTATTTGTTCAAATTCAAATATTTCAATCATGATTGTTTTTGTTTACAGGAATCAGCTACCCGATGACCTATCAAACGCGGAAAATTATCGGTATTTAGACGACTTTTATGAAGCGGCCTGCAGACATTCGTCAGGTAAGTTTGCCAACGACAATGCATAGGAATATGAGCTGAAAATTGGAAGTACATACCTTACGTCCAAAATTCGATTTCGAAAACGTGTATTTTTAGCGCAAGAGCCCTTATCAAGTTTTATTCCTTCGTGGGGTTATTACTCATTCTTCATCGAGTTTTAACAGTTTTAAAATCTCATCATCAGTAATGAAATAATACACTCATCAGTAACTCGATCTGCTTTTCTTTTTCCTTTCTTTTTTGGGAATAGAATTTGCATTTATCTTTGTCACACTGCGTTACTCCTCTATTTACATGGTTTCCTCTTTTTTTATTAGAAATATTCACCCAAAGGTTACCACCCAGAGATTCCTTGAGATCCTTGAAAACTGAAGGAAAATATGAGGAAAATCAGATATGGACGATAAACCTCGTCGCTCAATTTATGTTTATTGCTAATTTTTACGGAGTTATCCTCTGTTTTTATTGGTTCTACGTACAGCGCAGGGATCTTATACGACTCATAAAAACATGAATAATTCTCAGCTAGTAATGTTGATGTCAGAGGTTTGTTTATTTCGCATCTCAAGAGTGGTAGGCCAACATGAAAATAAACTTATTGATAATAAAATTGAATTGTTTCTGGTGTATCACAGTTCCTCAGTGCGAGCACACAATTTCAAATTTATTGGCGCCGTTAAATCGGTGTTTTTGTTACACGTAATTCAAAGTTAATACACACAGGTTCACGATCACTCACCAAGTGAGTCTGAGTTAAGTTAAGGAAAGTAATTAAAATATTCGGCTTAGCCACAAAACGACATCAAGTTGAGAGTTTCATTTGCAGGAAGACTGATCCTCATTTTAGCTGCATCGGTATAGTTTCGCTTTAGCCACCACTAGAGCGATGTTGACGACAACGCCGTGCCGCGTCGTAGTGCAACCGAACTTACCAGACGAATATCCTCGTTGCATTTTGGAACATTTAAGGCTTATTGACTATCTTTGCTCCCGTAGTATAAAGTGCCGAGTTTAGCAGATACTCGAAACATGCTGCAATGCAGCCTGCTCCAATTAAAGCAGAAGTCTGTTGTTAAAAGCACGTCAACCATTGTTAGGTCGTTTCTGAGTATAGATCGATTTCTTCATGAATGCATTTTTTTAGTCTTAAATTTTCAAGCAAGTAACTTCGGCCAGTGGCCCGTCAGTACTACTTATGCCGGAAGTGCTCCTTCTTTTGAGAATACACACATACAAAAAAAAAAAAAAAAAAAAAAAAAAAAAAAAAAAAAAACTGAGAAAAAATAGGCATTAAGAATATAGTGAGGCTGATCATCGCTAAATTCGCAGTGGCGAGGCGTGAATGATCGATTATCGTTATGTCCTCTTTCGAAACTGTGACAAATAATCTATTATCAAGGTGTTCGTTGCAGACATCATGCTTATCGATTCTTTTCCAAAGATTTAAATGGCAGAATAATCGATATTTTGCAGAGCACGTCGCACGTCGAATTCGTCTAATTTTGGGAGTGTTGCCGGGAAAAATTTTAAAGAGTTGAAATTTCTTATACGTTTTTAAATACACGTCAAAATCAATTGATCAAACCGTGATAATTGAACCGAACATTCTTTTTTTATCCGTCTCTCGGCATTCAGTTCCTCCTCATAGCGTGAAATTATCAGAAGTCCATCCCGTTCCGCGTTGCATGCGACTTGTTTTCCTTCCGCCTCGACAATTTTCTTCGGCGTCGATCCGGAAGCGATCCTGGGTGTTAACTGTTTCTCGAGTGTTTGCGTAGCATCCGCACTCTGCACCTCCGAATCGGCCTATCCCCCCCCTTCTTCCCCCGATACACCCACATCCCAAACCCTCTCCACCCCCCAACCCCCTCCCCAGCCTTCAAGTGCTCCTCAATCGAATCGTCGCCGGAATAATGCGCGATAATCTTATTTCCTGCCCGCGCAGTCTCAACCTCAACGCAGAATGCAAGTAAAAACCTCGTATGATCCCCTCGGACGTTGCCAAATTTCCTTCGACAAAATACGAATTTACTGAGAATTGTGTGATTGTTTTTCTACGGCAATTGTGCAGAGAATTCCTTTCGCAAATTTATTGTAATCATTAGCAAATGTTAAATTAAATTAGCTACAATTTTCTTCAAAAATGCACTTTTTACCGGGGGAAATTTGGCAACGTTCGAATCGTCATATGTTGTTTTTGCTGAGCACGGTAGAATGCACTCGAGCTCATGGGAATGCACGCTAGTTCGCACTCCCCCGCGCGGTCCCGAGCGCAGTGTATATTTACTCACTTCTCTCCGGCATTATTTATCTGCGAATTCGCTTCTCATTCTTCGGCGCGGAGGCTGGGGCTGGATCCGTTGCGTTTCCCGTCGCTTCGTAGTCTCTTCCCGGTTCCTGTCCGCTTTTTCAATCTGGGACGGTGAGAAGCCGGGGCGCGAATATACCGCGAGCAGATGATATATTGATGGCTTAACTGCGAGCATACGTATCTGTACTCGAGACGTCATGGATCCACCTCCGGCTAAGTTATTTTAAGCCGAGACCCGAGATCCCATCTTTTAGATGCGAAACGTATTAACCCCGTCGTGTTTTTACGGCAAGTCAAAAAGTTTGCACTATTTTCCTCTTCGGTACACGGAGAAAAAAACCTCGTGTGTGGGACCCGAAGTTTAGGTCATATGGATCTCTGAAGTTTTCGGATTGAGCATCTGAATACTTAAGGTCTAGCTGTCGAGGTTCGGATCACACATCTGAAACTTCAGTTCTTACATCTGGAGTACTTCGGTTTTCACCTCCGAAAAACTTTGGTTCTCACATCTGAAGTACTTCAGATGTAAGAACTAAAGTTTCAGATGTAAGAACTGAAGTTTCAGATGTCAGACCTGAACATCGGCAGCTGGACCTTAAGTGTTCTGATGCTCAATCTGAAAACTTCAAAGATCCATATGACCTAAACTTCGGGTCCCACGCACGAATTGTTTTTCTCCGTGTATATACCTTTTTTCTGCCGTCAGTCATTTACGTTTTATTCACTGAAAGGGAGACTGATAGACCGTATTCGATAGTGATTCGGTGTATCGTTTGGTTTAAAACAATAGAACATAACCTCAAACAAAACTTTTAGGATTTCAGTTGGAAAACCTAAAAATGAGAAGATTTTTAACAATTACAGTTTTCATCGGCATTTGGTACTTAAAATAATAAAAAATTTATCATAAAAGACCCGTTCCCTGAGATTTCTAAAGTGACTTTTGAGGTTATGGTTACGTGTTGCAGTGTTGCACCAATCGACATCGATACAATCTCACCTGTTTGATGTGTCGAATACGATCTATTACAGTGTCTTAACAATCGTGCATCCTCATCTTCGTGTACAAAATAGTTGGAGTAGCAAACGAAAGGTTTCAACACATCGTCACCTCCCGGCCAAAGTATCGCAAACGCCATGCGACGTTTCAAAATTTCCGCCGCCATTTTATTTTTTTTACATAACAATTGTTTAACGAAGCTGTTCGAAAATTTCACTGAATTTTCTTCATGCCGCCGGTAAAATTCATCTTGAGTTTCGAACAGATTCAACAAACAATCTATCTTAAAATTCGGTCGAACAGAAGCCGAGATAGCATTTTAGGCAAAATACTCAATTTTTTATTTTTGAATTTCAAAAGTTTAATTGAAAATTCGAGTTATCCGTTGCAAAATACTCCATCCTCCCATGTACATAACGGACGCTCTCAAAAACTGTAAAAAGATCCTAGAACAGGTTTTTCTGCAGGTGAGTCCCTTATCTAGGCCACAGAAAAGATTTGTATAATGGGCCTGTTGCAAACTTTTGCTAGAGCAAAAATAAGAGTTGTTTCTTATAGATAATGCCTCAAAAATCACGATGAGCGCATCGGCAAAGTCTGAAATGCACTCATAACTTCACAATCTGCGTAAGAAATTTGCGTTTTTTTAAGCTTCCCGCTTCAAAAACGATACTACGGCAAAGGTGAACATTTTGTTAGAGGAGTCGCTCCATCGTCGGCGATATTCATCATGACCGACGCTTGCACGCAGTTCCGCGCGTAATTCAAGGAGAGTTCAAGGTCAATCAATTTGGGCGTGGAAAATATGAACGTTAACACGCCGATTGTTATCTGGTCTAATCCAGTTCAGGTGTTATCTCGTCCCATCAAACGTGTTTTGGCGGATTGGCGTCGGCTATGATGATTATTGCCGACGATGGAACGACTCCTCTTACAAAATGTTCACCTGTACCGTAGTATCGTTTTTGAAGCGGGAAGCTCAAAAAACCGCAAATTTCTTACGCAGTTTGTGAAGTTATGAGTGCATTTCAGAGTTTGCCGATGCGCTCATCGTGATTTTTGAGGCATTATCTATAAGAAACAACTCTTAGTTTTGCTCTAGCAAAAGTTTGCAACAGGCCCATTCTACCTTTTTAAATCAAATGAGGCTTTTGTTTTAGTCGCGGGCAAAAAAGAGCATGAAATATGTGACCTCATTTGAAATACATCAGTTGGCAGGCTGACCTTCCTTATTTTGATAGAGCAATTCACTCGAGTTAGGTTCGAACCTAAGAATACAACTATATCAACTTTGGTGTGTTGCACAGTATCACGCTCAATTGAAGGCGTTTTATATTGGGCCAGCCGCGAACTACGGAGAGTAGAGTCTTGATGTTTTGAGTGACGTCGAGTGCTGTTTGCGCTGCATACATCAAATGCAAAACGTCGAGTTATGTTCATGAATGGGGGAGTACGCCCCCTGACTGCTATGCGGTCCCATCCTCCGGGGGTGCTTCGCGCTTTTAAAGTGGCTCGAAGGTCCGCTTCGTGGACCTCTTGTGGGTTAATCTGTATCTTGTTGCATGAAATAAAACAAAGCTCTAATAAAAATAAAAAATAAAAATCATCGACGACCATATGAATAACTGCGGGGCGGAGCGGTTTATTCATTTTTTGTAATCCCTGTGTCACAAAATCATAACACGACGC